GAGGTGTCCATCCCTGATCCCCATCATCTCAAGGGGGTTCCTGCAGCATCTCCAACCCCTTGGAGATGTTCCTACCTGATTTCCACCACCCTGGGGATGTCCCCTGTGATGTTTCCATCACCTTGGAGGTGTCCATCCCTGATCCCCATCATCTCAAGGAGGTTCCTGCAGCATCTCCAACCCCTTGGAGATGTCCCTACCCGATCTTCATCACCCCAAGAAGGTCCCTGTGGCATCTATGACACCTTAGAGGTGTCTGTGCCTGATGTCTTATATCCTGGGGTGGGTCCCTGTGTCATCTCCATCCCTTTGGAGATGTCCACCCTGTATCTCCTCACCCCACCCCACCCCAGGAAAGGTCCCCGTGTCATTTCTGTTACACTGGAGATGACTGTGTCATCTCCATCCTCCCAGGGGGAGGATCCATGTGGCATCTCCTTCACCTTTAGAGGTGTCCATCCCATATCTCCATCTCCCTTGGGAGAGTCCCATGTGGCACCTTCATCACTGGAGAAGTGTCTGTGCCACATCATCCCATGAGGGGGGAGGTGGTCCTTGAAGCATCTCCATCACCCTGGAGATGTCTCTGATGTGTCCCCATTGACCTAAGGTGGTGTTGGAAGCATCTCCATCACCCTGGAGATGTTTCTGATGTGTCTCCACAACCCTATTGGGTTCCTTGATGGAGATGCTTCACCCTGGAGGTGTCTCTGGTGTGTCTCCATTGACCTAGGGTGGTGTTGGCAGCATCTCCATCACCCTGGAGGTGTCTCTGATGTGTCTCCACAACCCTATTGGGTTCCTTGGTGGAGATGCTTCACCCTGGAGATGTCTCTGATGTGTCCCCATTGACCTAGAGTGGTCTTGGCAGCATCTCCATCACCCTGGAGGTGTCTCTGATGTGTCTCCACAACCCTATTGGGTTCCTTGATGGAGATGCTTCACCCTGGAGATGTCTCTGATGTGTCTCCACCATCCCATGGTGGGTCCTTGAAGCATCTCCATCACCCTGGAGGTGTCTCTGATGTGTCCCCATTGACCTAGAGTGGTGTTGGCAGCATCTCCATCACCTTGGAGATGTCTCTGATGTATCTCCACCATCCCATGGTGGGTCCCCATTGACCTAAGGTGATCTTGGCAGCATCTCCATCACCTTGGAGATGTCCCTATCAAATCTCCATCACCCTATTAGAGGTCTCCATGCCACCTCCTCCTTCTCCATGATCTTACACCCTCCACGTCCCCATCCCTATCAAGATGATCCCAAATCCCCACCGCTAACTACTGGACCTTCCAGATCAACCTCTCCAGCACCCACAACCTTTTAGGTGGGTTCCCATCCTTACTTGTCCCTCACCCAACTCTCAACGGGGGGGTTATCTCCCCCCTCCCCCCCCTTTTATTCCTTGCACGGGTCCCACCAGGTGACACCGATGTCCCCAACC